AAACAATCTACGCGATGACAATAAAAAATCACTAGTTGTTATGGAATCAAGTGTTTTTGCAATTGATGAGTTAGCGTACACTGGAGAATAGTTTTTTGACAATGGTGCAACGTGTCATCTAACTTTCTGAAGAGACTTATTTCAAAGTTTTGAAAAATTTTCTCAACCGAGTAAAATATATGTTGCAAATGTAGAAGCTTTTGAAAAAGAAATTGTTCATTTTCAAGTGAAAGTGAATAATAAATGGCTAACAGTTTAATTCAAAAATATCTGGTATGTGCCAAAAGTAAAAAGAAACTTGTTCTCAGTACTTGCAACTCAAGATAAGAACAGAAATAGCTTTTTTGTTTCAACCTCAAGAAGTAGTCATCTACTTATTGACAATGTGATAAATTTTGTTGGAATAAAAAACAATAATGGAGGTTTGTTCAAACTTGTAGCAAAAACTGTTAGACCGTTGAATTCTGAAGTTGAAGTTAACTCTGTCAATGATCAAGATGCATTGCAGTTATACTATGAGCGAATCGGACATCAGAATAAGAAACATGCTAAAATAGTCATGAAACGTGAACTAAACATCGATAAACATGTAGACAGTGAAGGATGTGTCTATGGAAAGTTACATCGATTGAAATTTGGTACTCGAGTAAACGCATCAAGACCAGGAGAATTTATTTACACTGATGTATGTGGTTCTTTTTGCTTCTCATTTCAAAATTTCAGATACTCTGTTTCGTTCAAAGATGATTTCACAGGCTACAGATTTGTTTACCTTGTAAAACAAAAATCAGATGTACCAGAAAGAGTCAGACAAATGCTTGCAGAGTCAAGATCAGCTGGTCATAAGGTCTCAAAAGTATTAAGTGACAATAGAGGTGAATTTGACAACAAAGATGTCAGATCAATTTTGCAAAAATAAGGAGTTAGACATCGCTTAACTATGCCTTATATACCTCAACAGAATGGTTGCAGCGAGCGTGATAATCGAACGCTAGTTGAAGCAGCAAGAGCTATGAAACTGGCTCATGAAGAACTGCCTCAGGTCCTTTGGGCTGAATTAGTTAATACTGCTGCTTAATTACTCAACCGAACTGGACCATCTACTGTAGAAGGAAAATAACCATATGAATTGTGGTTTAACAAGAAACCTAAGATAACACATCTACGAATCATTGGTTCATATTCCTATGCAGAAACGACGAAAAATGGATACTAAAGCTGTAAAGGGTATTTTTGTTGGTCATGAAGGTGATGGCTACAAAATTTTTGTTCAGTCAGAAAATAAAATGCTTTGATCAAGAGATGTTATTTTTGATGAGAAGGTTGTTAAACCAAATTCAGTGATTTTGCAAGAAGAAAGTTGTTCAGATGATACAGTTTCGAATGATGATGAAATCAAAAAGGATAATAAAGAAACTTTAATTAAAAAAAGTATTTCAACTGATGAAGATGTTCACAACTGTAGTTCAGTTCATCTGATGAAAAAGATCAATCTGATTGTTGTAATCAAAAGATCAAAGGTATGGTTTTACGTGACAGGAATAATATCAAAAGGCCATCTCGTTATGATCCTTTTGCTATGTCTGCATTTTGTGAAAAATTTGAACCAGATAGCTACAAAGATTCCATTCAAGATGATGAAAAAGATGAATGGTTTAAAGCCATGAACAGTGAAATGCAGTCATTCGAGGAAAATCAAACCTGGGATTTGATAAATCTTTCAAAAGGTCATAAGGCAAATGGGTAAAACACAATGCAGATGGTTCTGTTGAACGTTTTAAAGCTAGTGGTAAAAGGTTTTTTGCAAAAAAAAGGGAATTGACTATGAAAAAACCTATAGTCCTGTGGTCAGAAGTTCAACTATAAGAACACTATTAAGTGTTGCTGCAAATGAAAAGATATCACTCATGCAGTTTGATGTGTCTCCTGCATTTTTATACAGCAAACTAGATGAAGATATCTACATGGAGCAGAAAAAGTCTGTAAACTCAATCAAAGTCTCTATGGACTTAAACAAGTTTCAAAATGTTGGAACAAACGCTTTGCTAAATTCTTGAAAAAAGACATTTAAAACAAATCGATGCAAATACTTGTTTGTTCATTAGAATACACGATGGAAAGAAACTCAAACTTGCACTGTATGTTGATGATGGACTAGTTGCAAGAACCGATAAAGAAGAACTAACAAATTTTGAAAAAGAATTAAAGTCAGAATTCAAGATAACATCTTAGAAATTAATCAAGATGAGAAGGGAAATATTAAAGTCCATCAGTCATCGTATAAAAGGATGATTCTTGAAAGGTTTGGGACGAGCCAGTGTAAACCCTGTACAACTCCAATTACAAAATCTGAAAAATTCGATGAAGACAAAAACGAACACGAGAAAGTGAAATTTCTTTACAGATCAGCAGTTGGTGCATTGATGTACTTGATGACGGGAACAAGACCAGATATTGCATATTCAGTTGGAGTAGCATCCAGAAGTTAGAAAAAGATCATACCGACATACCGACATCAGCAAGTCACAGCTGATGTCGGTATTGTTTACAAGTCTGGTCAAAACAATACACTAGTAGCCTATAGTGATGCAGATCATGGAGGAGATAAATCTTGTGGAAGATCGACATCAGGTGTAATCTGTATGTTTAGAGAAAGCGTGATCAGTTGGTTTAGCCAACGTCAACCCTCAGTTGCGATTTCAACTATCGAAGCAGAAATCTTTGCCGCAAGTGAAGCAGCTCGTGAAGTGGTATGGCTCAAACGATTGTTGAACGACATTGTAGATCTAAAGAAAAAGCCAGAAGTTTTTGTCGACAATGGAGCAGCGATTCGTTTAGCACATAATTACGAACTTCACAGAAGAACAAAACATATCCACATTAGACACTTTTTTTGTCAGAGAAAAGGTTGCAGAAAAAGAAGTTTCGACAGAACTTCTAGTTGATGATGCTCTAACAAAACCAATGGTAGGACCAAGACTTAAGAATCTGATGTGTGAAATAGGTCTTCAGAACATTTATGTTAAGGTCATCTAATGTTTTTAAATAAAATGAGGAGGTGTTAAGTTTTGTTTTATTTTTAAAACATTATGATATACATTTATTTTCTTTCGGCTAAATATTCTTTTGCTTTGTATGTAAATTCAGTTTTTGTTGTTCCGGTTGATAATAAATGAATCAAAAATGTTTCTAAGTTTAATTTCTTCTTTTAATGTCTTTCAATATTATATTAATATCAATTAATTAAACGATCTACGTTACAAGAAATTTAACAGTTGACTTGTTTCACCTGTTTACCAATAATGATTTTGAAGCCGATTGGGGCGATTTTGCATTTTTTGCATTGCTGTTAATATGCAAGCCAGGATGCAAGCCTTTAATCACTTTTAAAAAACAGAATGAAAACAATTGTTTGCAGTTTTTCCATTGATTCCGCTATAAGAGCTGTAACATCAACATAATTTACATTGTTTATATTCACTCTTCAAAGTGTCTTTTTCATCAATGCCCGATCTTCCAATATTTTCACAAGCTCAACGGTTATCATGCTGTCAAAAGCTTTCGAGTAATCGACAAAACATATAAACAAGTCTTTCTTCATTTCAATGGTTCGTTCACTAATCGTTCGTAGCATAAAGATAGAGTTTCTTGTGCCAGAAACTTTGACAAAACCACATTGGACATTTGAAATTTTAGATCTGATTTTGTTTTGTGCTCCTATCAATATAATTCTCTAGAAAAATTTTGTGAAATGACTCATCAAGCTGATTTTTTACATGTAGCTCACATTCGGTTGCATTGGGTTTTTTAGACAATGCAATAAACATTGATTTGGATGAATCTTCAGGAATTTTTCCGCTGTTATATATCTCATTCAAAATTTTTTTCACTTTCTCGATGCTAAATTCATCAAAAAATTTAATTTCTTTAGATCTATTTTATCTGAGCTTGGTGCTTTATTTGATTTCAGTTTGGAAAGAACGACAAGAACTTCGATCTATGTATCTTTGGTCCTTTTACGTCTTTTTAAATTGGAAACTTTTCACCAGAGATATCATCAAAAAGATCATTAATGTATTTAGCCCGTCTTTCAAGTACTTTTTCTTTCCCCAAGATTACTTTTACGGATTTAACATTTAGGCATCCAGAAACGGTACAGTGATTTTTTTCCAGTGATTTCTTTGATGTTTTTATTCATTGCATTTGTAAAACTCTTTTTGATCTTTTTAATGATTTCGCCTTGTCATCTAACAATTTTTATTTTGCCTCCATGCACATTTTTTTTTATTGTTTTGTCCAGCCTTTTGTATCCGTCAGGATTGCAGTCTTTCACCTTCCTCCGTTTATTCATCATACGATACTGTTATCCATTTTTGACCTCTTCTTTGCTTCTTCACAGGTATAACTTCTTTTGATGATTCTGGGATGGCATCTCAAAGTATTTCATATTTTGAGTTATTTACGTTTTCCTTCAATAAACGAAAAAGATTCCGTACTTCAGCGTTATACTTTACTTTAATCACATCATTCTGTAACAGACTGACAAAATTCAAACGTGTTGTAGCCACTTAATTTTTGATTTTTTCAAACGTCATCTTAATTTTACAACATCTGGGTTATGGTCACTACCACAATCAGCTCATTGTAAAAAAAATATTTTGAGATCATATATTTAGTAATGTAATCAATCACATTTTTTAAATTGTCTCCGGGACCTTTTCAAGTATATTTATGACCTGGATAATTGTCAAATCAGGTGTTGGTAGTAATTTGATCATTTGCGACACCATTCAATCAAGTTTTTTCCTCTTTAATTTCTTTCAGTTATCACGTGAGGACTAACTACGTCATGTATTTTTTTCTGAGCCAACTTTTCAATCCAGGTCACCCATCATAATAACAAATTTTCAAAATTTACATATTTTTAAAGCATCATCTAGATCACTCTGATGCTTTTTACAGAGAATAAAATATTAGATCAAAAGTTCTAAACTATCTTAGTTTTCCATATTTCAATCTTCCATTTGTAAAAGCTTGTTAGCGCAACAGACGTTTTATTGACGTGTTTTCTCAACTGGGTAAGTGCGTTTCTAAGAATTTTTTATTTATAAGAGCAGCGTTTTTTCTTCATTAATTATTGAAGCCATTTATTAGAAAATTATTTATTGGTAAAACGGGAGATAGATACTCATATGGTATCGTCCATGTTTACAAACATTCATAATGTACTTTTTAATTGACTCCGCCCATTTTGAATTATCTAGCGCTTGATTATTTATTTATATCAAATTTAAAATAATTTAATACAAGTTAATTCTTAGGTAAGTTTTTTAGATCATTAATTGTCAAATAGTTGAAAATAGTGAACATTAAATAAAAAAATGTTGAAATATGAGTAAATTTCTGTTTTGATAATAATCAATGTATTAAATTAAATTTAATTCAAATTTAATTAAACGGTTGACTCACGAACGTTAAAAACTCACGGTTTCGACAAATAATTGAAATTCACACAAAAACAAGATGATAATGTTTTTGATTTTATATGAATTTATTTGACTTTATTAAAATTAAAGTATTTATATGATGTACAAAACTAAAAATGTGTTGGTTCCTTTGAACGCTAAGAATATGTCGTCTATGTACCTGTTGTAATTCATGACATTGACAAATTCGTTATTTAGTGTTGTGTCGAGGTAGTCTAGGTACAGGTTTGCTAGGGTGGGGAAGTAAATCTTTCCCATGGCGCATCCATTTATTTGCAGGTATTGTTGTTGATTGAATGCGAAATCATTATTTTGTAGGGTCAGGGTGAGGGCCTCAATTGTGAGGACATTAAATATATTGTTTGGCATATATTTTCGTAGTGCTTCCTTTTTTATTTCTATTGAGCAAGAGTTGGTCATGTTCGTATAGAGGCTTGAGACGTTTGCAGTCACAAGTATTTATTGATTATTGGTGAACACCGCCACAAAAAGCCATCCAAAGAAATGCGATTTCATAATTCCATAGGGGACCCGCATTGGCATGTCATTTGACTTGCTAGAAGGCCATGTTGCATAGCCCATGTTACGGCCTCCTCCTTTTCAACAAAATTTTTCATCATTTCACTCAAAGGTACGCCGGCAACGGATGGAAAAGCCATTTTAAATATACAAAGCCTTGTTGTTTGAACCGTGGCGCAAACCAAAAAAAAACCAAAGACTGTTTTTATTATAGAAACAATTTTTAAATCATATTAATAAATATAAATAAAAACCATTAAAAATAAAATTTATTTTTATGTTTTATAATTCTATAATTATTAATTAATAAGTAGAGTACTTTTGAGTTTTTTTTTTATTGTAGAAACAATTTTGAAATTGTAATAATAAATATAAAAACAATTTAAAAACTGTAATAATAAATATAAATCATAAGTTAAATAATTATAATTGAAAAATACAACTCCTAAGGATTTTTTTGATCATAGAAAAATTTTAAATCTAATCAATAAATAGTTAAGCACTAGTTAATTTTAAATGAGCGGTGTCATTTTATTTTAACATACATTAGGTTTGTTTGTAAACAGTTTTAAATAAACTTGTCTTTATTTTGAGGATATTAACTTTAAAGTTGAAAAATATCAATGATACAATGAGAAGTACACTATTGTTGTAAGTAAAATTAGTGAGGCTTGAAAAATTAAATTTTTTTTGCAATTGGAAAGTCAAATAAAGTTTTTGAAATTTATTGCAGACTGGGTTTAGAGAATGGAATATTTCAATGAAAATTATTATTTAAACTAAAAAACATTCTTATTATGTTTCTGTGATTGTTGTTGTTGTTGTTGTTGTTGCCCCTAGGCTCTAAAGCAACTGCCTTTTCGCGGTGGAGCCGATTGGACCGTCAAATCAGTCGTTCCAACAAACAGTTGCAATAAAACCCTCCATTTTGTGTAGGTGATTAATTCCATTGATGTTTTTGATGTTTTTGTTCTAATTCATGATCTTGTTTGGTTCTTTAATTATTTTTCATCTGCATAGCAATTTTTTTAAATTCAAATAAATTACTTAAGATTTGTAATTTTTTGTTTGTATTTTTGATTATAGTACATAGTTTCTTTATTTTTTATTTTATTATTTTTTTTTTTGTTATACAAAGGACTATTAGTTTGGCTTATACAGAAATTAATATATCATGTTTCGAATAAATTTTGAAAATAAAAAACAGTAAAACTGCTGATATTTGCCACCATGAAATTGAAAGTATGTATTGTTTTAATATTTCAAAAATTTAATTTCAATACTTTTTTAGAATGTTTTTACCTTTTTTAATAGAAACCATTGTGCTAACTTTTGCTTAAAATTCTGATTTTTATATATCAAAAAGCTGTTTAGATATTCAATATTTAACTTATTTAACAGTGAAAAGTAACATTTTAATAAAATTAGAAAACATTCACAAAAGTAGCCAAAAAATTATTTCAGTTGAAAAACTTATATATGTATTTTGTTATTTACATGATTTTTTTCATATATGTAAAATTTATGTAAACTTTTTGCGCCAAATTAGACGATCAGTTGTATCCATTTGATTTAAATTTAGAGCTTTCATGTCTTGCTCGATTGTTTGCGACCAGGACTTCTTTGGACGGCCTTTGGGACGAGTGCCAGGTACTTCAACATCTGCAAGAGAAGTTATGGCACTGTTTCCACTTCGTTTGACATGACCAAACCACCGCAGACGGTGTTGCCGGCATTCGTCCTTTATATCATCTAAACCAGCACGACGCAGAATTTCGGTAGATTTGATGTGGTCCTTCAGACTAATTCGTTGCATCCATCGGAGCATTTTCATGTCGGTTTGTTGAAGTTGTTCCAGTTCTGTTGTCATTGGCTATGTTTCTGCAACATATAACAACACCGGACGTATCACAGATTTATAAAGTCTTGATCGTAGTGGTAGTGGGATGTCACGCCACATCAATATAGTGGCAAGGAGATGCCATTTATTCCAGGCTGCACGTATGCGTGCTCGAACGGCAGCTTCAGCTGTTCCAGTACAATCCAAAACATCTCTTAGATATTGAAACGATCTGTTTGTATTATATTTGATTGTTATAAGTGTTCATGCAAGGTACATTTTTGATACCTATCAAACATTTACTGAAAACCATGAGTTAATGAATCAACAAACAAATGAATCGACTTTAGCTTGTTTCAGTAGAATGCACTAGAATAATATTGATTTCATGTTTTTGGACTAGCGATAATATTTTTTCATTATAAATTTTACACCATGTTTTTACATTTGAGTTATTTTCAAGTTCAACTTCGTCACATAAGTTTATTTTTATGTCTAATTGTCAGTAATGCAATTAATATGGTTCTGTTGAAATAGAAGCAATCTTCTTTATTTATAAACGCTGAAACATAAGATATCGTTCTATAACGTTTTATATAACATTTTAATAACATTTTTTATAACATTATTTATACATATTCAATTTTGAGAAAAAATATCAAAGTTTATTTTCTTATGTACGAATCAGTTATATTTTTATTTGGCAATAGAAAAAAAGCAGCAAAGTATTCAATGAAAAATTATTAAAAAAAATTTTCCATGCTACAGTTGAACTGCAATGCTGTAAGCTGGGCACCAGCCATCAAATCAGATTCACTTTACGATAATGGAACAACCATGTCACCTCCAAAGCAATTTGTCTCTGGTTAAAATTTTGAGGTTTGTGCAAAATTTCATATTTCCCATATATTTTCATAAACTTCGTCGATTAAAGATACTACTGACAGCGGTGTATTAACTTCAAAGATATCTTAATTCCGTCACCAGGTTATCGATATTTCGTAGGTTCAAGATTTCTGATAGGGCCTAAACGCAACTTCTTCCAATGCAAACTTGGTTAAAGGTTTATAAAAATATCAAAGTTTATTTTTTTCATGTCCGAAATCAGTTATATTTTTATTTGGCAATAGAAAAAAAGCAGCAAAGTATACAATGAAAAATTATTAAAAAAAAATTTTCCATGCTACAGTTGAACTGCAATGCTGTAAGCTGGGCACCAGCCATCAAATCAGATTCACTCCACGATAATGCAACAACCATGTCATCTCCAAAGTGATTTGTCTCTGGTTAAAATTTTGAGGTTTGTGCAAAATTTCATATTTCACATATATTTTTATAAACTTCATCGATTGTCACTACTGACACCAGTGTATTAACTTCAAAGATATCTTAATTCCGTCACCAGGTTATCGATATTTCGTAGGTTCAAGATTTCTGATAGGGCCTAAACACAACTTCTTCTAATGCAAACTTGGTTAAAGGTTTATTCGAATGCCAACGGTAATACTTACACTAAATCATTCACTAATCCAAGTAACTACATAAATCACAACTTCCTTTTTGCTTCAAACCTTGCTATTATAAAAAGCACGTGTCTTGTCTATACAGTTCTATCATAAAAAGCACGTGTCTTGTCTATACGGTTCTACAATCGTAATATTCTACAGCTCTACAAAGATAACAAATAATCAAGATAATGATAGTTAATTATATAGCGCAATTTCACGGCGGATACATCAGTATTTAGGGGATTAGAAATTTATTTATATGAAGAAGTCTTATCTACCTCAATCTTAGCTATTACAATGTCAGACCACTGGGAAAATTAAGGAGTGCATAGTTTCGTTGAGCCTGATCATCCGTGCATGAATATGTATGTATGCATTTATAGTCTTTATTTTTATATTATGTACAATTATACGGGTATATATAAACCTTCCTGTACATAGCACGAGATCGTAAAATTTGCATAAATCTGAGGGTATTTAACGCCGTGCTCTATCAATCTATTTAGTTATACTTTTATTTATTCATGTTACTTGTTCGACGATTGGCATAGTTTATTTATTAAAATTGTTACTAATTTTATTTTGCTAATTTTAGACGAGAATATTTCATTCAAAAAACGGTAAAATACCGATTTTAAAATGAATGCAAACAAACAACAGGAGGAAGATGCAAAAATGAGGATTAGAGTTTTTCCGGTTAGTTAGGGATTTTAAATATTGCACAACAAAAATATATTTTAATTTAATTGAATAAAACGATATTTTTTTTCTAAAGATGACAATGGATGAAGAATGTGTGAACAGTATATGGTCCCTTCTGAAAAATTCCATTCAAGAAATTCAGAAAAAAAACAAAAGTGGGTTAAGCTTCGAGGAGTTGTACAGGAGTGCATATACAATGGTGCTTTATAAACGTGGAGACAGGTTGTATGCTGGACTCAGGGAGGTCGTTACAGATCATTTGGTGAACAAGGTGAGATTATTTTAATTTAATTATATCATGATTTAGAATATTTTAAAGGTTAGATTGATAAATCGAATACATTGCACGTGTAACATACTTAAAAATGATTACAAGTCGTGTGCGACTTGGGAAAAGCTAGTGAACGTTTATTAAGGAATGTTCAATTTTAAACATGACTCAGACTCCGGGTAAAAACTTGTAATTCCAACTTTTACATAATAATTTTGCTTTATTATCACTCCTAAAATACACTTAAAATCAGTCAATATAATGGTTTTCCTCAGTAAAATTATTTTTTTGTTATAAAAAATTCTGAAAAAAATTATGTAATTTTAATCATATTATTAGTATTTATTTTCAGTATTAAGGTGATTGCATATTGCTACACATATTCATCTACTAAAAAACATGATCGTAACAAATTTTTAGAAAAAAATTCTTCTTAATTAGTTTTTAATGTTTTCAACTTTTGTACAATATTTATACGGTCAGTAAAATATCTCAAATCGTAATAGTGCTGTCTTGAGCTGCTGCTGTATTTAAAAATTGCATAGTGATCCGGATCAAAAGCTAAAAATTTCTATCAAAAGTTTATCAGGCATTATACGTTTGTGAATTTCCACCATTTATGGTTTCTTTAAGAGAGGACATTTTAATCAATAATAATAACGTTTGTAATGCAATAAATAAAATGAGAATCAATAACATTACACAGGTTAGAGAAGAAGTTTTGGAATCACTACAAAACAACTTTCTGCAAGTTCTCAATGCTGCTTGGAACGACCACCAGACATCCATGGTCATGATTCGAGACGTCCTTCTGTACATGGTAACAATGCAGTTATTCTTATCAGTCACGCAATTTCACCTGTTTAATAATTCATATATCACCATCATGAACATATTCCATTTTTTTCAAAGTCTGGCAGCTCGATGCCTTGTTTTTATCACAAAAGTTGTGTCAAATTAAGAAGTTTCTCAGGCACTCCTAATTATTTAAGCACAGCATCTAAGCAGACATCGCTCCCTGCATCTCCTGCTGACAGAACAAATTCTCAAATGAGAAACTTCTCTCTACTATCAAATTTACCTCACCTGCTTTTCTCTCTTTCAAAAGATGCCTGCTTATAAATACACTTCATACAATTAGTTATCGTTTATAAACATTTAAACTTTCATGGTTTAACTATTAGAGCAGAAATTAATTTAAAACCATGTTTTATTTCACCTTGTTTTTCAGATGCCAAAAAATTTTTTATTTTCAATTTAGAGTTTCTAAATTGTCAAAGTGTTTCTACTTTGCCAAGGAATGCCAATTATTTGTAAGAAAAATTTGAGGGATTTTAAAATATTTGTCAGAATCCAATTGTTCTTTTCAATCAATCTTTTTTATCAGTTGAATTTATTAATAGTTTGAACCACAAAATATTTGCGTGAACTGTCATCATAGTTTATTTTTACTATTTCATTCCTCCAAACTTAAACTCCATTATCACTTTCTTATGATAGGATCGAGTCTATATACAGCACAACAACATGATCAATGTTTATAACTTGGGTCTCATGATATTCAGAGATGAGATCATTCGCCATCCACCCATTCATCAACATCTGCGAGAAACATTTCTGTCCATGATGGTCAAAGAAAGGAATGGAGAAGTTGTTGATAGGTTCGTTTAATCTGTTTTTTTAGTTCGTCATCTTTTTCTTCTAACCTTTGACGTCGTTATATTCATTATTTTTTTTGTTGCATTCATTTTAGTCCTCAGTTTATTTGTGTTACAAATTTAATGTTTAATTCCTATGTTCATATTCATATAACATAAATTATTGCATCAGCATTTATATGTTGATGCAATAATTTAAATGATCATTGTTCTTTTATTATTCTCCTGAGTTGTGATGTTATTTCAGTCTGATATTGAATAAAACATGTTATTAAGCATTTTTTTAAAGATTGGTTTTTACATTTCTTATACCAAAATCTTTTTTACAGGTGTTTTTACAGATCTAATGCTTAATTTTTAACTTTTTACAGGGGAGCTGTGAAGAACGGATGTCAGATGTTGATGGTGCTTGGCATAGATTCTAGGGCAGTTTATGAGGAAGATTTTGAAAGACCCTTCCTCGTGCAATCTGCTGAATTTTATAAAGTTGGCGTTTGTTCTGAACAATAATTTTTTTAAAATATATTATTGAAAAGCTAATTACTAACGGCTGTTTGTCACTTGTCAGATATGAATAATTATTTACTGTTTTTTTATTCTTCAAAAACTTTTTATTTTTGTTTACAAATTGATGAAATAATGAATTTAAATATTATATTGCAATTTAAAAACAAACAAAATTATACAATGAATAATTCGTTCCTCAGTTGGAAAGTGAGAAGTTACTTTCAGAAAACAGTGCATCAGTGTATTTAAAAAGGGTGGAGGCACGAATATTCGAGGAGCAGGAGCGAGCAGTTAATTGCCTGAACGAGTCAACCAAGGAACCAATAGTCAGAGTAAGTGATTCTCTGTTTTTTCTTATTATTTCTATGTTATTAATTTTCCAATATCTACCAGATAAAGTCACTAAATAATGATAAAAATATTTTTTAAATTATGCAAAGGTTGTGCAGGAAGAGATGATTGGAAAGCACACGAGGGCGATTGTTGAGGTGGTTACTACTTTCAATTTCCAATTTAATTGCTCTTTTTATTGCATTGCAGTCTGTTTGCATTTTGTCATTATTTGTAGATTGACGTTATTATTCCATTATCAAGCTTCTATTTATTTATCTTCTATTTATCAACTTTTATCAAGCTTATTCTTGTATCAGTTTTGTTCACATATCAAAGTTGTTCACAATGGATCAAGCTTGATCACAAGTCAAACTTTTTCTTACCATACTTGTTTTGTTTGTTGATCATTCAACTTGATTGAAATTGTTTATTTAACTTTCTTTGTGTAAAAATTTACTTAGTTCATACATCAAATTTATTTTTGCAGATGCCAAATTTGGGAGTTGTGCATATGCTGAAGAACAACAAGACAGAAGGTAATGCTTCATACGATATTATTTAGTTTTTTTATATGCAATTTTTTCATATCAGTGTTTATTATTATATCACTTTCATTGTGCTTTTTGTGTTTCATGGTGTGATGGGCAGTTGAGTTTAAAGTGAGATGGATCAGAAAAAGTTGGTTCTGGCTAAAATTTTATTTCACAAAAGACTTTTAAAATTGTTTGATGAGCCAAATTATTGGTTCCTTTTGCTTTAAACGAAGTACTATTGATTAATTGTATATATATATATATATATATATATATATATATATATAGAGAGAGAGAGAGAGAGAGAGAGATAATATATTTGTAGATTAATAAATTTTTTAATCTCCACTCCCACTGCAACACTGACATGCGGCTTTAAATAACCAACAAAAATTAATTTTGCAGATTTGGATTGCATGTTCCGATTGTTCTCCGTGGTGCATGATGGCTTGAAGACCATGTCTGATTGCATTAGCGCTCACTTGAGAGAACAAGGAAAGTCGCTGATCACTGAGAATAGCAATGGCTGCAATCCAATCACCTACATTCAGGTTCGTGTCAAATGTTTTTTCTTCTTTTTATGGCACCAAGAAGTCAGACCTGCATTGAGAAGTACAGCATGATATAATTCATCAGATTATTACGATAGTTTTTTTCTTTACATTTGAACCAGTTCAACGCATAAGTTTCAAAGCATTTCATTTCTCTTCACTACCTGGTAAAGAATATGCAGTGCACAATATTGCCAGAAATTGTTTAGTTTTAGCATTTTTAAAAACGTAAATATATAAAAAAAAATCAAAATAATTATACTAAAATTGTCAAATGTTTTTGAAGTATTTTCTTATTTTATTGCAAGGCAGTTGTGTTTATTTAAAATTGTGGTGCAAATATTTTAAAAATTTCTTGAGAGTCATAGTTGGACAAATTTTCATCTGACCGTTTGCCTTCTGAGTTTTTCATAATAATTAAATACCCGAGTGTTTATTTATTAGTTGAATTATAATTACATTTTCATCAAGTTAATTTGATTTGCTCTAACAAGATTTGTTTCTTTTCAAGTACATAACATAATTGTTTGATTGTTGACAGAGTTTGCTGGATCTGAAGGATCGATTTGATCATTTTTTGCACGAGTCATTCAGCAATGATAGACTTTTCAAACAAATGATATCTTCAGACTTTGAGCATTTTATCAACCTTAACTCCAAGTCTCCTGAATACTTGTCATTATTCATTGATGATCGATTACGTAAAGGAGTGAAAGGGGTTTGTCTCGTTGTTTTGTTAATTTTCATATTTGTTTGAGTATATTACAACGTTTATTGTTGTTTGTCAGTTTCAACGGTGTTTTTTTGACACAGAACAGTTGAGACACTAAACCTTGCTTTAGAATTTAAAAAATGTTCTATTCATTTAAAAATTATTTTAAAATTTTTGATATATTTATAAGCATAATTGGTGTTTCTATGAATAAATGAAAGATATGAAAGGCTTCGTACAAGCTGGTGGATTATTTTTGATTCTCATTGCAGATGTCCGAGCAAGCTGTAGAAACAGTGCTGGACAAAAGTATGGTCCTTTTTCGGTTCTTGCAAGAAAAAGATGTGTTTGAGCGCTATTATAAACAACATCTGGCCAAACGACTTTTGCTCAATAAAAGTGTGTCTGATGATTCGGAGAAGAGTATGATTTCCAAGTTAAAGGTTGTTTTAGTTTACAATTGGGTTTTGCCACTATAAATGGTTGCAATCTAAATATTTAAAAAAAGGATAGTGAGGAAATGCGTTGATTATCACTAAGCTATGTAAATTAAAATATTTAACTTTTATAATTTGATCTTTGTAATGAATTTAAAAAGAAATTTGTTAAGTAAATATGTTTAAGTAAAAGTGCTAATGCATGTGAAATAACTGAGCCAATTGAATTTTTACTTGGCTTATAAATAGGGATTTTTAAGAAATTTTCTATTCATTCCTATATAATAAATAATTGAAATAATTCAATTGGTGTCTCCACTACCATCGACCGTCATTTCAACTAACGTGATTATCTTCCACTGTCATTTCAACCGATGTCATCATCATCGACCGTCACTTCAACCAACTAACGTTTTGTCGTAATTGACTGTCATTTCAATTGACTTCATCATCATCGACCGTCAGACGGAATGTGGTTGGATGTTCACTTCGAAGTTGGAAGGCATGTTTAAAGACTTGACAGTATCTAACACCATCATGGAAGAATTCAGAGAACATGTCAATTTCACAAGAGTAATTTTTTTTCTTTTTCCTTCAAGCGTCATTCGTTCATTAACTTGAATGTTTTTAACGTATCTCCTCACCACAGCTTTCAAAATTATTTTTTAAATGTTTTTTTTATTAAACATTTGATAACTTTGTCATTACATGGAAATGTTAAAATTTTTTAAATTTTCATGATCAATCTTTTTCATTGATATTTCTAAATTAAAGTTCAGCATTTAGCTGACAGAAATTTCCCATAAGAGCTGACTAATCAATTAATCTTAATTTCTTTTGCTCTCTCTTCTCTTTTTGATTTTCAAATTCTTTTTTTATTTTTTTGCCAATTCAGTTGAATCTCAACCCATTCTCTAATTTCTTTCATTTTTTTAGCCTACTATCTTCTCTAAATTCAAATTTGTTCTCTTTTCTATAAGTTTTCATATTTTACCAATATACAAAGTAAAAACCGTTTTATGATATTCTCTTTGTTTTACTTATTTATTCAAGTGCTTTGAAAGCAGTATCCAGATTTTTAATTAATTCAAAATCTTCTATCATTAAATTAATATTATTATACAAGAAAATTGCCGCCACGATATAAAAAAATAACAAAAACTGTGAATGCTTTGATTTTTGCAGGCGAACATGTTTGGCATGGACTTAAGTGTTAGAGTCCTCACCACTGGCTTCTGGCCATTACAATCATCAACTACCACATGTAACATTCCTGCAACTTCCAGGCAAGCATTTGAAACATTCAGAAGGTTGGTATTCCGTCTGCAAATATTAACTTATCAACATATGAACATATATATATTCGGATGTGTGTGATGCTTTGTCATAAGTCGTTATCATGGAATTTGTTGTTTTATGATATATTACTCTGCTGGCGATGAATGAAATTAAGTTTGAAAACATTTTTGTAGATTTTAGCGTTAGACATCTGAGAATTCGTTGATAGATGCAGAAAAATAAAGTCTGAAAAAAATTAAAAAAGGTTTCAAATAAAATAATATTACTTGTTTGCATGATCTGCTAAGTTGAATAGATCAAGCAACTGAACTTAAAATGAAGATTCCGGTAGTGATAAAAAAATTATAAAATACCTGCCACATTTTTGTGTTTTAGTTTGACTTTATATAATTGTGTTTCTTATCAATATTTGGTAGTTGTGTTTTTTATTAATTTTTTGCTGACATAAAGCTATAGAAAATAATTTAGCAAGTTAAAACGTCATGCTTTCATTTATGAGATAGCGTAAAAATTATATAATATTTTTTTAAGATTTTACTTAGGAAAACACACTGGTCGACAGCTAAGTCTGCAAGCACAGCATGGATCTGCAGATTTACATGCTGTGTTTCATGCTTCAAAACGGTCTTCACAAAGCCAGAGTGGTGGAGGTGTAGCAGGAAGTGGTAGCAATGGATCGATGGATGCCAACGACGATGAAAGCTGCAGTGGGGCCGTCGCTCAGGGCAAATCTGGAGGGCTGAGGAAGCATATCCTTCAAGTTTCCACATATCAAATGGTTTGTTACATTGATATATATTGTTATGTGTATGATAATAAGTTAATATTTGTAAATAAATGTAGTAATGTTCATTGTTAATTTATAATTTTAGGTGGTGTTAATGTTGTTTAATTCTCGAGATGTGTGGACTTTTGAGGAGATAAAAAATGAGACAGACATCCCAGAACGAGACCTCATGAGATCCGTTCAATCACTTGCTCTCGGTAAGATCACACAAAGAGTCCTCACTAAAGATCCAAAGACAAAGGAGGTCGAACCAAACCATTCATTCACTGTAAATGATCAATTCACTTCTAAGCTATTTCGAGTCCAAATCCAAGCAGGTTTGTTTGCATTTCATCTAATTAACATTTTTCAACATTTAGTCTGATTTTTTCATTTTTTTATTCATGATCATTTATCATAACTTTATTTAATTTTTAATTTGCAGTCACTAGCAAGAGCGATTCAGAACCAGAAAGAGTTGCGACAAGAAACAAAGTTGATGAAGATAGGAAATATGAATATCCTTTTATACTGGAAATTTTTTTTATTTCTTTGTTAGGGCTGTACCGAATGCGAATTTTAAAAATTTGGACGAAGCCGATTTTTGCCCAATATTAATTTGGCTGCAGCCTTATCCGAATTAATGCATCAGTACATAAACAAAAATATTTTACGATATTCGGTTATGTATTATTTACCTGATGCTTATTTGATGCATTCTTGTTGCAAATTTTGTTAAAAAATTTTCCACACTGGCATTTATTTGTACTGAAGCTTATGTGAAAATTAGAGAAAAAAATTAAATTTAGTCGCGGCCAAAATTTTTGCCTAAGCCGAATGTGAAAAAATACCGAATTTCGGTCAAAGTCAAAATTGCGTACAGCCCTATTCTTTATGTTCTTATTAACTTTTGAGAGGTTGGTTGGTTTTTAATCTGAAATTTTCTTTAACACATACATTTGGTTTGTCATTGAACGATTGAAGCGGCAGTTGTCGGATAATGAAGACCCGAAAACAACTACAACACAATGTGCTCGTGGCTGAGGTTTACTATTTTAATTCTAACTCATAAAAATGTTAACGATAAATATTTTTTAGATAATAGCTTTAAACAGGGACGTCTATAGAAAAAGGGAGAGGAAGCAATTGCTTCCACTTTAAGTTGGGGGAGGATTTTATTGTTGAATCATAGTTTAACAATATGAAAATGAAAGTAATCGTCTGAAAAAGAGAAAGTTTATAAAAAACAAATGCCAGTTATTAACATAACTGCAAACATCTTAATGGAAAAATATTTTAATTTTTAATAAGGGTGGCGTTTGCTGATTGCAAGTTTTTCTAGAAGAGCAAGGTTTAGTAAACAATAAAGTAACTAGCGGGGTGCTTGGTAGATAAAAAAAATTTGGTGTCGCCGCAATATGGTGCCAGGATTTTATAGCGTGAGTGCAATGCAGAGAAAGAACTGAAATCCCTGCAAAAGTGTTGTTTGATTTCTTACAGGAAAGTTTAGGAGGATTAATGATCCTTGTAGATTTGATGGAAGATTTTCAAGTTTGATGCAGCATTTGATGTGAATGATGTAATAATTAAGATGCCAAGCATTGCTGTTGCGTGACCGGGTTTGAACGCAAAGAAGTGTCGGCCTATCATCATTCGTAGACTGATCAGACGTGAGCCGTTGAAAATAAGCTAAAAGAATTTTATTGTAACATGTTCAACAAAAAAAAAATATTTAGCTTTTTATAACTACTATTATTTACAAATTGTGCATTGTCCAACAAAAAATCTTATGCAATAGTTTTGTTATGTCATTTTAAACTGTGATAACTGTCGTCATCCAACAATGTATTAGTTATGGAGAGTATCCTATTTTTATTTTTTACACTTGCATGGACAGGTCATCGAGCAGCTAAAAACTAGGTTTCTTCCTTGCCCGGCTGTCATTAAAAAACGAATCGAAGGTCTCATAGAAAGGGAATATCTTTCAAGAACTCCCGGGGACAAGTAATCATTACGAAAAATTGTTAATTAAATCATTAATTAAATTAGTTAATTAAGTTGTAATTGTCAAAATACGGTTCACTTATACATCTTCATTAATTACTTTATTACTTCATTTATAATTACTTCATTATAACTAATTACATTAATTACGAAAAATTGTTAAGTAAATCATTGATTAAATTGGTTAATTAAGTTGTAATTCACGATCTACAGTTCACATATACATCTTCATTAATTACTTTTTATCATCATTAATTACTGTTTGTAAACAGTTGATTATTTAATTATAAATAATTAAATTTTTCCTCTACAGGGGGTTGTACACATACGTTGCCTAATCTCCAGATTTTTATGAATGAACGTAGCATCAAAATACATGTTATAATAAAACTCTTTTTTATTTGATAACTTTTTGATTATTCATTAGTTCATTTTTCACTTTGGCGTGATTATAAAGGACATGTAAATAAAATTCTCACAAATATATACATTCATTTTTATTTTGTAACTCTGCACACTCGTCAAGTTTTTAACATCTTCATTAAATGTCTTCGATTGCTAGGAAAAGTTTGGTAAATGCTGCAGTATGTGTGCGAACATTTGTATGTATATATGTGTGTGTGTGCGTGCGTGTATGTATATATATATATATATATATATATCATGCATTTTTATAGGCGCCATATATTCGTTCCAGGGACTAAATCTCGAATGAATGCGCACATTTTTGTATATATTCATACTAGGTTAGGATTCCATTAAACCGGTCAGGTAAAGTTTCTGGCTTTACTCCGACTCACCCAGGTAAGAAAAGAAGAATCATTCTTCCTCTCTGAGTGGCGTGCTTCTATTTTCCCAACAACATCATACATAGCGCGGTTATGTATACATATATAAAAATACATACATATATATATATCCAGGTACTAAAACTCGAATGAACGCTCACATTTGAATTGCAACTACGAGCTACAAACATATTAACGCCAAACTTTACCTGACAAGTTTAACGGAATCCTAACCTAGTATGAATATACATACACAAATCGAAAAAACGAACTACAAACATATTAACGCCAAACATTTGGTAGAATTTATAAAATATTGTAAAAATTATGGTTTATTACCAACATATATATATATATATATATATATATATATATATATATATATTAGAATTACTTTATAGTAAACTATAACCAAACTCAAAAAGCAGCGGTTGATTGAATTCGATAACAGTTTGCATAGCCAACTACAAGCTGAAGCGCATCGACACCGTAATGCTTTCAGCAAACACGTTTTATTGAAACAATTGGTGAGTGCCGCCAAACAACTCCGTAATCCAGATATCGTGGTGAGAAAGTCCGACAAGTCTAACATGTATGTTGTCATGAATAAAGTTGATTACCACAAACAAGTACAACATATTTTGGCCGATGATACAAAATTTAAACGAATCGACAAAGATCCAACCTCTAGTATGTTGGTAATAGATATATATATTGTTGAACTTTTGAAATGCATTGAAATTGTTTGAAATTTTTGATTTATATCAATTGATAAATAGAATAAATGTACCAACCCACGTTCATGGTGGAACATTAGATTTAATTGCCTTTAGTTCTGACCTTCCCTCACAATTTTTTTCCGTTGAGCCACCAAATGTGTATTCAGACCACAGTTTAATTAAAATTTGTTTCCCTATTTCTGTTCCCACACCTCAGAAAAAATGGAAACTTACTCGTTCATGGAATCAAATTAACGAAAATCAATTTTTTTCACTAGTTCTCGAATCATCTATTTCAGGGCCGTTCAATTCATCTTCAACTGATACCCTGTTGGATTTGTTTAATTCTGAAATCGTGAGGATTGTGGATATTGTTGCTCCTTGTCGTTATGTCAAATCTACTCATGTACTATCTGCCCCTTGGTTTGACTCTGAATGTCGTTCATTAAAACGCAATTGTCGAAAACTGGAACGATTGTATAGGAAAATGAAAAATGATATTAATGGAAATGCATGGCGCTTAGCGTTAAAAGAAAAAATTCAAAAATTTTCCCAAAAAAGTAACAAATTTTGGTCAAATCAAGTTGATTCGTTTAAAAAACAACCAAAAAAATTGTGGAATATCCTCGACAAAATTTTATCTAAAAATCACAATAATAACCAATCAAATGATTTTATGACATTTTTTATCAATAAAATCAATAATATTCGTAGCACGACTATAGAAAATACTAACAAACCAATCCAATTTGAATATGTCTCTAGGGTTGTCTTACCTGAAGCAATTGTTAATCTTTCCAATTTTCAAATGTGCACGCCAGATGAATTGCGTAAAATAGTTTGTGACTCCCCTGGCAGTTCTTGTTCTCTTGATCTGATTCCGACATACATATTTAAAATATTTATAGATCTTTTTTTGCCATTTTTGACATTTTTTGTCAACCAATGTTTATCAACTAGCAGTTTTCCCAACCCTTTGAAACATGCTATTGTAACCCCACTTCTAAAAAAATCAAATTTGGACGACAACGTTTTATCAAATTACCGTCCTATCTCTAATCTTTCATTCATTTCTAAAGTCATTGAACGAGTTGTTATCAAACAATTGTTACAGCATTTAAACAAAAACAATTTGTTGCCAAAGAATCAATCCGGCTATCGTCAATATTTTTCCACGGAAACTGCACCCATTGATATTTTCTTCCAACTGTTCTCTTCAGTTGACAGTCAATGCGTTTCTTTTTTGGCATTACTTGATATGAGTGCTGCATTTGATTGTGTCGATCATACTTGTCTCATGTATAAACTCTCCACAATTTTTTTTCTCTCTGATTCAGTCTTATCGTGGTTCGTTTCCTATCTTTTAGGCCGCACCCAGCAGGTTTCTTACAACAACACCCTCTCTGACATAAACAAACTATCGTTTGGTGTCCCCAGAGATCTGTGTTGGGACCTCTGTTGCTTCTTATGTACACTGCTGATGTTTTTGATATCATTCAAAAATATGAGTTCAGCTCCCACGCCTTTGCTGATGATATTCAGTTATTGGTATCTTGTCCTGTTGATTCGATTGATGCTTCTCTGAATGAACTGACTGATTGTCTCATCGAAATTGGATCTTGGATGAGTATGAATCAGTTAAAGATAAATCAATCTAAAACACAAATATTACCGGTTGGTTCTTGGCAGCAGCTATCGAAGGTCAAAATTTTCCACATCTGTCCGTAGTCTTGGAGTTATTATTGACTCAAACCTAAAGATGGATTTACGTATTAATAATTTAGTGAGGGTCTGTTCCAACCGTTTATTACGCAATGTCAAAAAATCACTAAACACGTCTGTTCTTCAAAGCTTGGTTTCCTCTGTCGTCTTTTCCAGACTGGACTACTGCAATGGCCTTTTTTATGGTGTCACCAAAAGGTCTTTTTCAAAGCTTCAGTCAATACAGATTCGTGCGGCCAAGCTGGTTTTGGGTGGTTCGTGGTTCGATCATGTTACGCCTATTTTGAATAGGTTGCACTGGTTGAGGGTTGAAAAACGTGTTTCCTTCAAGTTGGCAGTTTTGATGTTTAAATGTGTCAATAATACAGCACCTTCCTATCTCATCGATAGATTGGAATCAGACAAATCTCATTTTTCAAAATATTCCTTCCGATCAACCGAGCGCAATTTATTTTTTATCCCAACCACAAAGTTGGTGACGAGTTCCCGCAACTTTGCGGTTCTTGGCCCGATTGTTTGGAATGGTTTACCTCCATACTTACGTGACCCTAACCTATCATATTTACAATTTCGAAGTCAACTTAAAACTTATTTATTTGCACAATGAATGTCCGTCTTATTTGTCTATGATTTAGTAGCGCTTTTGAGATTCAACAATAAAAAAGCGCTGTATATAAATTTCCGTAATAATAATAATATATATATATATAGTTTGGCACGAGGTTTTCGTTATAACAAATTG